TATCACTTGACAGTAGCGGCTGACAGAGGCCCCCCCCCCTGCCATCTATCTTCCCAAATATTGCCTCGGATTCACTTCTCTGCACGTCCTACCTTCCAGAAAGTGGTCGCTTTTCTGTTGAGAGAGTTGCTGCTATTATTTTCTTCCATGGCCTGTTGAGTTCATAGGTGTTCAGAATGGTTTGATCCCTATCTAGCTGAATTCCTGGGACCAGACAAAATTTAGCTCTCCTAGTCCTCTGCCATCTTGCTCCTCCCTCTCAGTCTATTCCTTTTAATTGAGAGTTTAATCCATTTGTGTTTTAAGTAAGTACTGATGAGTAAGTAACTTTTGCCATTTTGATACTTTTTGTCTTACTGCTTTTTTTCATTTTCTCCATTGCTGCCTTTTTTTAAAAGATTTTATTTATTTATTTGACAGAGAGAGACAGAGAGGGAACACAAGCGGGGGAGGAGCCCAATATGGGGTCGATTCGAGGACCTGAGCTGAAGGCAGACACCTAATGACTGAGCCACCCAGGCCCCCCTGCTTTTTTTTTGTTTAGTTGACTTTTTTTAAGTGGGACACGTTTTAATTCCCATCTCATTTTTGTGCATAATCATTAGATATTTTCTTTGGGGTTATCATGGTATAAAATATAACATCCTAATGTCGTAATGATGTAGCTTGATTTGATATCAACTTAATTGAATCATATACAAAAGTGTAGGTTTCTAAAGCTTCATTCCCCCTGTATATTATTCATGTCACAAATTACATTTCTATACACTTTATGCCCAATAACATATATTTTTAATTACATTTTAATGCTTTTGTCTTTTAAATGCATAGAGAGCAAACCTAGAGTTGCATACCAAAATTATAATAATAGTGGGTTTTATATTAGCCCCATATATGTCTTTTCCATAGATATTTATTTCTTCATACATCTTTGAGTTACTGTATAGCATCCTTTCATTTTAACTTGAACACCTTCCTTTTGCATTTCTTGTCTAGTTGTAATGAACTCCCTCAGTTTAGGAGTGTTTCAATTTCTCTCTCATTTTTGAAGGATATTTTGTTTGCTATGATTTTCTCAGCTGACAGTTATTTTATTTGAACACTTTAAAATATATTATCTGGGTGCTTGGGTGGCACAGTTGGTTAAACATCCGACTCTTGGTTTCAGCTTAGTCCATGATCTCCAGGTCCTGAAATCAAGTCCCATATTGGTCTCCGTGCTCTGCACACAGTTTGCTTAAGACTTTCCCTCCCTCTGCCCCTCTTCCTTGCACTTGCTCACTCTCACTCACTCTAAAAAATAAATAAGTAAATCTTTAAAAAGTATTATCACACTACCTTCTGGCCTCTAAGTTTCTGACGAGAAGTCAGTCGATAATGTTATTGATGATCCCTGTATCTGACAGGTTCTCTCTAGCTATTTTCAAGATTCTCTTTGTTTTTGGCCTTCAATGCTTTGATTATAATGTGCTGAGTCTGGGTCTCTTTTAGTTTATCTCAGTTCTAGTTTGTTGCATTCCTTGGATTAGTAGGTTCTGGTCATTACTCACTTTTGTGGAGTTTTGGGCCAGTATTTCCTCAAATAATCTTTCAGCCCCTTTCTCATTCTCTTCTTTGACTCTCATAATGTATATTTTGGTCCAGTTGATTGTGTCCCACAAGTCCCTTAGTCTTTCATTTTTCTTTATTCTTTTTTCTTTCTGCTCCGTAGGTTTGTAATTTCAGTTGTCACCTTCATGTTTGTTAATTATTCTGTATGCTCATACTGTTGTTAAATCCCTTTTGTATTTTTATTTCTTTTTTTATTTAAGTATAGTTAACACACAGTGTTTTAGTTATTTTAGGTGTACAGTGTAGTGATTCAACAACTTTACATTATAATATGCCCAACATCACTGATCATCAGGGAAATGTACATCAAAGCTACATTGAAATACCACCTCACACCTGTCAGAATGGCTAAAATGAAAAACCCAAGAATCAAAGTGTTGGCAAGGCTGTGGAGAAAAATGAACCCTCTTGCACTGTTGGTAGGAATGGAAATTGGTGAAGCCATTTTGGAAAACAGTATGGAAGTTCCTCAAAAAATTAAAAATAGTACTACCCTATGATCCACACTACTGGGTATTTACCCCCAAAATATAAAAGCACTAATTCAGAGGGATACATGCACCACTGTGTTTGTTGCAGCATTATTTGCAGTAGCCAAACTATGGAAGCAGCTCAAGTGTCCATTGATAGATGAATGGATAAGAAAAAGGTGTTACATATACGCATGGAATATTATTTAGCCATAAAAAGAATGAAATCTTGCCATTTGCAATGGCATGGCTAGAGATAGAGAGTATAATGCTGATCAAAATAAGTCAGCTAGAGAAAGACAAATACCATATGATCTCACTCATATGTCAAATTTAAGAAACAAAACAAATGAGTAAAGGAAAAAAAGAGAGACAAACCAAGAAACAGACTCTTAATTATAGAGAACAAACTGATGGTTACCAGAGGGGAGGTGGGCAGGGGTGTGGGGGAAATACAGGATGAGGAATAAGGAGTACACTTATGATGGTGAAAAAAAATGAAATGATAAAAAAGATAAATTATCTCTTCCTACATTTAGGACGAAGATTCACTAATTCTCAATCCAAAGACAGCACTTAATAACAAAAATATCATGCAAATCACTAATGAACATATGGTTCCAAAGTCTTAATTATAGCGATGTATATTATTTTTCTAGTGATGTGTTAAAATATTATCAAAAACAGCCTCTTAAGACAATATTATTATGTCACAGTCCTATAAGTCAGGAATTTCAGAGTGGCTTAACTGAGTATGGCTCTACTGGGTTACCTGCTCACTGTCTCACTGAGTAGATATTAAGGTTTTAGCCAGAGCTCAGATTTTCATATAAGACTTTCTGTCCTTTTTAATCTCCCTTTTGGTCAGAATTCAGTTTTTTGTAGTTGTAGCATTGAGATCCTTAGCTCCTAGACATTTCTCCACAACATGGCTTCAAGACTAGTAAGAGAACATTTCTTATACTTCTGAAGGGCTCATCTTGATTAGGTCTGGCCCACCTAGTAGAATCCTCTTTTTGATTAAATTGGACCCATCATAATTACAGATCTCAACCACCCTCAAAGGCATCGTACTGTACAGGATATTTACACCAGAGGATGGGATCTTAGGGACCGTTTTTATGATTGCCTGCTACATCTTGCAAAAAGGACAAGACATTCAGGAAATTCTCCATTTTGATTAATGGATTTGCCCCATTGATATGAAGCTTGTACACATCCAAGCTAGCATACAATAAAAATTTAGCGAATATATATAGTCTATATCAGTTACTTTGCATACATTGTCTTATTTAATCTCCACAACAACCCCATGAAGGCTGTTTATAATCCTTCCCAGTTTGTAGGTGAAAAAACTGAAACTAGGAGGGTTTAAGTAACTTGTTAAAATGGAGTTTGGGTCTAAATGGCCCATGGTATTTATACTCCACCATGGTGTCACCTAGTATTAATCTTGATTTGTCTATCATTTACACTTTTATGTAAGTGCAGTATCTATTCAGGTAATTTATCACAGATTTGTGACTTACAATTTTTTTACATTCAATAATGATAATGTAGTTATGGTTTAAAAAAGAGCGTCCTTTTAAAGAGACATTTAAAAACATTTACAGATGAAATTCCCTGCTTTCTCACGTTTGCTTCAAAATCATTTGTGGGATCTTTGGGGTTAGAGAATGAGTAGGAGGCTGTCAGTGAAAAAAAAACTGGCCAGAAGTTGATAATATTTGAAGCTGGATAATGGGGAACAGGGTTTATTATGCTATTCTACTTTTTTTTACATTTGAAAATTTCCATGGTGAATATTAAGTAATCCATAGTTACAGTTCTAAATAAGAAAGTACTGGGTAAATGTATTCCTTAAATATCATAATGTCTGTATTTTTAAAATCATGAATCTTATAAAAAACAAAATCATGAATCTTTATTGGTTTTCATGGAGTCATAAAAGTGTTTGTTTATACAAGCATTTCCTTTATTAAAGTAGTACTGTGTAGTGATTAAGAGTGAGGACTCTAGTGTCTGACCCTCTGGGTATCTTAGTGCTGTAATACTTAATAGTTGTATGACTTTGTGTAAGTTATTTAACTTCTGTGTCCTTCACTTCTTTTTATTTGTAAAATGGGAATATTTGTACCTACCTTATGCAGTTCTTGGGTGTAGTATGTAATGGATAGATATTGGGATAAGACAGCAAAAAATGCATACACATACATGTATTCATTTGTATATATAAGTTTTTTCTTAAATAGGAAACTTGAGATAATTGTTTCCCTTTTGCATTAGAGGATGTTTTATGTTTTTGTAATGTTTTTTGAGCCTGTGGTTCTCAAACCAACGTTTCTAAAAGGTTTTCCCTTTCACAACACATATTTATACTGTTTTGCAGTGGGAGTCGTTTGGCATTTTGGGTGGAACAGTTCTTGTTTGGGACTTTTACGTTATTGAACATCTGTATTTACTTTCCCCTCTGCCTACATTAAATACCAGTCCTGACTGGTCTTTGTGACAACCTTAAGTGCCTTTGCACATTTTCAGATGTCTTCTAGAAGAATAGAACCATCCTTGTTTGGGAGCCATCGGTCTATTAAAGTTTGTAGGTTGCTACTATAGTTTATTTTAAAACACTGGTTTTCTCACAGCTCTACCTATCATGTGTGTTGAGATATATTGGGTGAGAACTGATGAGCTTAATTACTGATATTTCCACAGTAGTTCAAAGTCTTGTACAAGTATTAATTTTGGAAAACATGTGTTAACCTGTGATCTGTCCTGATCTTAATTGAACCAAAATATTGGATGTGTGGTGTGTAAGTAGATGTCTCTATATTTTGGAAAATTTCCCTTAGTAATACTAATACTCCACCATTGCTTGAAAGATTGCTATGAGTTAGCTAACTGTAATTCCCTTTCTTGTAGGTGATAGAAATTGAAGATGCTTCACCCACCAAATGTCCAATAACAACCAAGTTGGTTTTAGATGAAGATGAAGAAACCAAAGAACCTTTAGTGCAGGTTCATAGAAATATGGTTATCAAATTGAAACCACATCAAGTAGATGGTAAGAAACAATTATATGATTAAAGCATTTTTTTTAAGTAGGCTCCTTGCCCAGCACGGAGCTCAGTGTGGGGCTTGAACTCATGACCCTGAGATCAAGACTAGAGCCTAAATCAAGAGTTGGATGCCTAACCAGCTGAGCCAGGTGCCCCATGATTAAAGCATTTTTAATTACATTTTACCAATATTTGGTGTCTCCTTGTGTGCCTCGCATTCTGCTAAGCAGTAGAGGCACGTTGGTGAGAAAAACAAATGTGAACCCAGCCCCCTATGGAGCTCATAAATAAATGAAGAGAAACAATTGAATGATTGCCAAAAAAAAATTGTTATAGGAGGGGAAATAAGTGCCACATATAAATGGGTATATATAGCAAGTGGATTTCATATAGTCTGCAATGGTTGGGTTAAGGGCAGCTGCAGGGTAGGGAGAGATAACCACCGTTAGCTAAAAGTCCTCTTTAGGAAATGCTATTTCAACATTTTTTCAGGTATGTTTGTTAATAATATTCTGACATTGGTATTTTGAAAGATACCAAATTATCCGTGTTCTCTCTTTTGTTAAAGTGGAAACAGTATGTCAGTTTTGAGTATGTATGTGAATGAATTCAAAGTTCTACAGTTCTATTCCTTGGGTAGTGAGCCCCCTTTCTTGTTTAGTCTTTACTATTGAATAAAAGGAGAAATGATAAATTATCTCCTGGGTAGTTTTCCTAATCAACTCAATAAACCTTAAAGAATATGTGACAGGAATCTATAAATTAGATAAAATTTTAGATAACATTTCCATATTAGAGTATTCATATGTTTCTTCGGATTGTCCCAGGGAATGAAGGTTTGCTGTGCTAGAATAGATGAATGAAGGAAAGTCGCCCTGTTGTATGCTTCAGTTTACTATCTGTTTTTTTTTCTAATTAACCTTAGTGAGGGTGGGAGGATTTCATATATAATTATGAGATTCTTTATCTCATTTTAAAATTCTGTTTCTTAGAAGTTTTAGTTACGTTTTTGATGTGTGTATGAAGGAAGATTTTTAACTTGGATCTTTAAATTTAATTTAATGAAGCTATCATTTTTAGGTGTTCAGTTTATGTGGGATTGCTGCTGTGAATCTGTAAAAAAAACAAAGAAATCTCCAGGTTCAGGATGCATTCTAGCACACTGCATGGGCCTTGGTAAGACTTTACAGGTAAGAACGTGAAAGTATTCTGTTCTTGTGCATTCATGATTTCAAGATTATATATTGGATTCTATTCTGTGTCCCAGGCTGAGTTACAGGGTCTGGAGATATAGCAGCTAGTAAACAAGAATAACAAGATACCTTTCTCAGGAAGCTTATATTGTAGTGCAGTTGAGAGATTTTAATCAAATAAGAAATATGTACTTTCAGGTAGTAAGTGTTCAGAGAGAATAGAGAGGGAATGCAACTTTAAGGAGTTGGTATATGAGCAGAGATCCTAATGAAGTGAAGGAATGGGGTTACAAGGCATAGCCAGTAAAAACTGCAAAGATTCTGAGGTGGAAATGAACTTCCTTACAATTTTTAATCATCTGTGATCCTATAGTAATGAGAATGTAAAATATTTTTCATTATTAAAATACTGAATTTCTGATTGGCAGGACGTGTAGCAGAGATGACAGTGAATATATATGTAATATATATATTTTTAAATATATATGTAATATTAAGCCATGAGGTAATTACAGACTGAGTCAGAACACTTTATTTTTTATTTTTTAACCATTTTAACCAATTTTCTTGGCTTTTAAGGTTCTTTTTTTGTTCTCAGATTTTACTGAAATTCAAGTTACTTAACATATGGCGTAGTATTGGTTTTAGGAGTAGAATTTAGTGATTCATCACTTACGTATAACACCCAGTGCTCATCACAATGAGTGCCCTCCTTAATGCCCATCACCCATTTAGTCCCATCTTCCAACCCCACCCCACCTCCCTTCCAACAACCCTCTGTAGGTAACTCTATTATGGTTTGCCTCCCTCTCAGGCTTTATCCTGTTTCTTATCCTTCCCTTCCACTATGTTCATCTATTTTGCTTCTTAAATTCCACATATGAGTGTAGTCACTTGGTATTTGTCTTTCTCTGACTGGCTTATTTCACTCTAGTTCCATCCATGTCCTTGCTTGTGGCAACATTTCATTCTTTTGATGGCAGAGTAATATTCTATTGTATATATTTACCATATCTTAATTATCCATTCATCAGTTAATGGACATTTGGGCTCTTTCCATAATTTGGGTATTGTTGTTAGTGTTGCTAATAAACATAGGGTTGCATGTGCCCCTTCAAATAGTAGTTTTGTTATCCATTGGATAAATACCTAGTACAATTGCTGGGTCGTAGGGTGGTTCTATTTTTAACTTTTTGAGGAACCTCCATACTGTTTTCCAGAGTGGCTGCACCAGTTTGCATTCCCACCAACGGTGTAAGAGCATTCCCCTTTCTCCGCATCCTCACCAACATCTGTTGTTTCCTGATTGTTAATTTTCTCCATTCTGACCCGTGTGAGGTGGTATCTCATTGTGGTTTTGATTTGTATTTCCCTGATGATAAATGATGAGCATTTTTTCATGTCTTCTTTGGAGAAATCTCCGTTCATGTCTTCTCACCATTTCTTAACTGAATTATTTATTTTTTGGGTGTTCAGGTTGGTAAGTTTTTTATAGATATTGGATGCTAGACCTTTATCTGATATGTCATTTGCAAGTGTCTTCTCCCATTTGGTAGGTTGCCTTTTAGTTTTGTTGTTTCCTTCACCATGCAGAAGCTTTTTATCTTGATGAAGTCACAGTAGTTCATTTTTGCTTTTGTTTCCCTTACCTCTCTAGATGTGTCTAGTAAGAAGTTGCTATGGCTGAGGTCAAAGAGGTTGCTGCCTGTTTTCTTCTCTAAGACTGTGATGGTCTCCTGTCTCACATTTAGGTCTTTCATCCATTTGAAATTTATTTTTGTGTATGGTGGAAAAAAGTGGTCCAGTTTCATTCTTTTGCATGTTGCTGTCCATTTTTCCCGGCACCATTTGTTGAAGGGACTGTCTTTTTTCCATTGGATATTCCTTTTTGCTTTGTCAAAGATTAGTTGACCATATAGTTGTGGGCCCATTTCTGGGTTTTCTCTTCTGTTCCATTCCTTTATGTGTCTGTTTTTGGGCCAGTACCATACTGTCTTGATGATTACAGCTTTGTAATACAGCCTGAAGTCTGAAATCATGATGCCTCCAGCTTTGCTTTTCCTTTTCAAGATTGCTTTGGCTATTTGGGGTCTCTTGTGGTTCCATACACATTTTAGGATTGTTTGTTCTAGCTCTGTGAAAAATGCTAATGGTAATTTGATAGGGATTGCATTAAATGTGTAGATTGCTTTCGGTAGTATAGACATTTCAACAATATTTGTTCTTCCTATCCATGAGAATGGAATGTTTTTCCATTTCTTTGTGTCCTCTTCAGTTTAAGTGTTCTGTAGTTTCAGAGTGCAAAGCTCTTAGAAGAGGTTAGGCTATTCCTAGATGTCTTATGTTTTTTGGTGCATTTGTAAATGGGATCAGTTCCTTGATTTCTCTTTTTGCTGCTTAATTATTGGTGTATAGACATGCAGCAGCGTTCTGTAAATTGATTTTATATACCGACACTGCTGAATTTGTGTATCAGTTCTATCAATTTTTTGTTGGAGTCTTTCAGGTTTTCTACAGAGTATTGTGTTGTCTGCAAAGACTGAAAGTTTTCCTTCTTCCTTGCTGATTTGGATGCCTTTTATTTCTTTTTGTTGTCTGATTGCTGAGGTAGCACTTCCAGTACTATGTTGAACAATAGTGGTGAGAGTGGAATCCCTGTTATGTTCCTATCTTTAGGGGGAAATTCTTCAGTTTTACCCCATTGAGTATGATATTAGCTGTGAGTCTTTCATGTATGGCCTTTATGATGTTGAGGTAGGTTCCAATCTATCCCTACTTTCTTGAGGATTTTTATCAAGAAAGGATGCTGTATTTTGCCATGTCTTTTCTGAATCTGTTGAGAGGATGATGTGGTTCTTATGCTTTCTTTTATCAATGTGGCATATCACATTGATGGATTTGTGGGTATTGAACCACCCCTGCATTGGCTTTTAAGTTTTTAATTCCATTCAGTTAATGTACAGTGTTATGTTAGTTTCAGGTATACAATATAGTTATTCACTAATTCCATACATCAGCCAGGGCTCATTATGACAAATGCACCCCTTATTCCCCATCATCTATTTATTCTACCCTCTTACCACCCTCCTCTCTGGTTACCATCAATTTGTTCTCTATAATTAAGGATCTGTTTCTT